AGGGAGGGAGGGAGGGAGGGAGGGAGGGAGGGAGGGAGGGGAGGGAACAAGTCACTGACCATTACTCGGCAAAACGCAAGCTGGAAAGATGACTGGCAGTGAATGGAATGTGACCCACGGAAGGGAGAGAAGCTAGGTCGCAGAGAGTAAGAATCGAGGGGAAGGAAATGAGAAGGACGAATCAATTTTGTTGGAACAAGAAATACTTGAGACAAGAGTGGTGAAATGAAACGGCATTATGTAGTACGAAGGGACAAGATACAGCAAGGCTGGCAAGAGTGCGATTGTCACAGACGAGGAGGTAGTTGCGAAGGAACTTGACGTGAAAGGGATGGCAGAGGTAGGGATGAGACTGGGTTGAAGCAGTGGGAGAGTGTTTATGAGCAACATATTTGAGTATCGACAGTCCAAGAAGGTAAACAAAATATGTCAGGACAACAGGCGGAGAGGGAGAGGGAAAGTGGGGATCGAAAAGAAGGATTCGAGTGAGAGAGACACGCAGGCAGGACGGGGTTTGAGAGGACGGGGTTTGAGAGGACGGGGTTTGAGAGGACGGGGTTTGAGAGGACGGGGGTTGAGACTGCGATAGAGAGTTGCTGATTGAGAGTTCGCTTTATAACCCGCCCTTGACCTTCCTGCCAGATTTCTGACATAACGCTTTCTGGTGGATCAGTCTACCCACTATTTCACACAGATCTATTGAACCAGCATGACCTGCAAATTAGTCACTAGGGCAGCAATAAACACCTTGAGTCGACCTTTCACAGCCCTCCCTTTGCCATTCGCTTTCTTCCCATGGTCCCCGTTTCTATTCCCTTCCATCTCATGGATCTGCATGTAGAATCAGGCGGTAGGCAGAGTGAGCTTGTGCCAAGGGTCGAGAGCCCTGAATTTCCTCCAGCTTACATTGAAGGCATGCCGTTGTGACTCCGTCGCCATCAGCGCTCTCCAAAGTTGCTTGCGCCTGCGGCGTGTTCACCACGTGTACTTGTGGAGGGTGCCTTGTAGGAATACCATGAGAGGAACCAGTCCACCCTGGCTGCCTCCCGCCTCCAGTAAGCTTCTCGCAGCCTTCGCCCTGCAGGTGATGTCGATACCAAGATGCAAACACGCACACAGGAATCTCACATTGAACGAAGGCAGCGATGGAAATCTCCCTGCATTCTCGTTTTCTCTCTGGGAGAAGGGCGCGGTGATCCCAAGAACGTCACGAATTCAAACCTCACCTTCCACAAGCTAAACTTCCTGAACAATGCCCCCTTACATGTCTTGGTGTTTGAACCCGCACCTGGACAACACTTCAGACAACATGACAGAAATCCATCGCTCCGAAAGCAAATCACTTTTGTGTTCCCCCGCTTGATCTCCATTCCTGTCGAATATCACTTAGCAAATCGGATAGTCATTCACTCGCTGGCGACATACCAGATTTGCTTGTTCGGATTGAAGGACGACGAGGTTCCTTTCATCATGCACCATCAGCAACAACCTGGTTTGTTGGCAACAACGACGATGAACAAGCACACACCATTGCCTCCCGCTTTGCCTCTCACTTTCAACGTCTGTGGGCAGGTTAACCCCAAGAGCGCCAGACCAGGCAGCCACTCACCGTATCCGAGTCAATCTCTCGCAGCATATTCCACAAGCATTCTCTCCAGATCTACCATCCCACTCAGAGATCAACCTGCCTGCCTTAGACTGCGGGGCCAACCTGATCGTTGTCATGCTGATCGAGCACATCGCTCTTGGTTTCTCCCCGGACGCCTCCGCTCCTCTTGCACCCGCATACTGAGCATGGGTTCCTGACTCCCCTGAAGCAGATGGAGCTCTCAAACTCTTCCTGATCCATCTCCTCCTCCTGATCGCAACCATGAGCACACGCAACACATCGAACCGTCCAGGGCTACCTCTCCACTGTCACAGCAGGAGCTCTTGCGGCTATTCAGCAGGTTGGACGGCACACCCTGGCGGCGCAGGAGCATGAGAGGGAAGACATCGTTCGGAGATCAGAGACCTGTAATCGAAGTATGCAAAACAAGCATGCCAGTAATGCGACACACTGTGCATGCAACTGTGTATCAGAACAACCCCACGGGTTGCAGAAAAGGGAATGCGCTACCTGCAACCCCATTTCTACAACATCACCGCCAGTCACTGACACAAGAACAAGTCAGCAGAACGATCGACACCATGAAGCACCACTCACGTATCATGGTCCCTGTTGTTAAGAAGAATGAGGCGGTCAGCGCGTCGTAGACTCCCCTGATGGTGACCTGTGAAACACAATTTTATTAGGTCCTGCTGGCACGGCAAGAAAGGTTGAGATCATTTCTTGTGCAGTATATGCCACATCACATAATAGAAGGCGCAAGTCAAATCACGTCTTACCATGCAGACTAATCCCAGCAAAATAACTTGGATTAGAGTATCCACACCCATCATATCGTCGTGATTGATCAACGGATCTTTCAACGTTGGCAAGCAGCTTTGATAAGGATCCGAGCTTTCTTTCACCGTCCTGCTATGGTGTTGCTGCAAGGACTGAGCTCAAGATGATGCTTGCTTCTTTCGTCTGATGAGCCCCTTCTTCCTGTTCCTCCTGCCGTTTCCCAAGAACCTCCAACAGCTGAAAAGCAACAGTAGTCCTCGTAAAGACGTCTCAACAATGCGCTTCTCTGCTCCGCTTCACCTCTTTCTCTGATCTGAGCTACTTCTTCCTAACCTTCTCCTCCTTCCCTCCCGCTTCCCTGCCGCCCTCGGCCTTGTTGTGTCCTGCCGCCATGCGCACAGCCTCTTAGCAACCTTTGTAGTCAACAAACAGTACCCCTACCTCCATTTTATGTTTCAACTCCCGCATTGACCCCCTACACCCCTCACAAGCATTTCACCATACAATACACCACCATTGTATATATTAGAAGTACCGGTACAACTATAGGATTATTTGATTACCACCCCCATCCTTTGAAATTTTCTTGTGTCACAGGGGTAGTGATTGAGAGGTGGAAACTTTGTAGTCAAACTTACCCTGTCAACTTGACTATAGTCAAGTACTGGTCTACCCGTGCTGAAATGCACTGGAACTATGTAAAGCTGGGGGTGGGGTGCTATTAGCGCCTAGCATCACGGCCGTGCCCGCCGGGCCCGGAGCGGGCCGGCGACGGACCGGCGGCGTGACCCCGGGCCCGGTGTGACCGCCGGCGGCCCGCTGCGGGCCCTACTATCCGGGCCTGCCAGCCTGAGGCTGGTGGTGGGTTGCACTGACGGGACACTTGATCAGCACTGACTCAACTTGCCAAGTCAGAAAACGGAACCTTTTTTACTTCAAGTCACAGTAAGTTAAAAATCAGTACTTGAATGCTGAGAGACGAGGAGGCTTGACCCTGACACTGTCGCACAGGCCAAACGGCGAGAAGAGAAAGACAGCGAGAACCAAACCTAATCCTGCCGACTGCTGTCCCCCAAACTTAACTGATACCTTCACTGTGACTTAAGTTAACTGCCGCGCCGGTGTGCGGGCAGGACACTGAATTCCCCCGCGCGGCCATGCCAGCGATGTCGCGGTGGCCGCCGCCGAAGGAATGAGACGCATACCGGGATGCACCCGCGATGATGGCAGCGTAGGACAGGGAGGCCAATACAGACTCAAGTTCAATCCGACACTCAGCCTTCATCACGGTCACCCCCGGCCGGCCGCCGGGCGGCGCCGCGGCCCGGGGCCGGCGTTTGATTCATCCCCCTCATTCCCAAATCATCAGGATATCTCACCCCAGATCTCACCCAGTATCTCACCACAGATCTCACCACAGATCTCACCATGTCGGGGCGAGAGCGCGCGAAGACAAGGGGAAAGGGAGATGGCGGGGAGATGGCGGGGAGAAGGAGAAGCTGGGACGATCCGAGGTCACCGCAATGCTGACGGGCAGGTAGAAGCGACCAGGCACGAACAAGCCATGCGACATCGGAACGGTCGGTCGTCGAGACTCAGGGGCTTGTGCCGGTGTCTGGTGCTGTGCCTCTTGCTCCAGCACTCGATGACCTTCGACGACGATATCACGATGCGCACCTCGAGCATGAGCAAGCACTCCGTCAGGTCTCCTACCTTGTCGAGAACAGTGCAGGCACAGTCGTTCTACACAGGACCTGCGTCCGATGTGGACATGTTCGACAACTTCATCTCCTACTCCTCCTCCCCGGATGATTCAGGCGTGTTGCCATCCAAGGCGGAGGATATTTGGGGCAACCATTCGCAAGAGATCGATGAGAACCTTATGAATCAGCTGCAGAAATCCGTCGAGCGGGTCAAGGACGTACTCGGGAAGAAGTTAGATACGTCGCCATCAAGGGAGGAGGAGCAGGAGGAAGGGAGCAGGAGGAGCAGGAGGAGGTAGAGCAGGAGCAGGAGCAGGAGCAGGAGCAGGAGCAGGAGCAGGAGCAGGAGCAGGAGCAGGAGCAGGAGTGGAACCTCTTGAACCAGCCGCAGGAAGATCCGTCCGAGGCATCGGTTGACTGGGAGGAAGTCAAGAAAACCCCGCAGCGGCTGAAGTCGATTTCATTTCTGAAGCAGCAGAAGGGAGCTCAAGTGGACCAGGCAACGGCGGGGGTGCAGTGGACGAGGAGGGGGAGGAGGACGAGGAGGAAGAGGAAGAGGAAGAGGACGAGGAAGGGGACGAGGAGGGGATTCAGAGAGGACTCAACCGTGCAGGAGATGTTGGGCGGGAGGAAGGAGTCTTCCGTGAAGACCCTGGAGTGGTTGAGGTCACCAGCCTGGCAGAGGCTGCGAGGAAGATGATCGCAAAGGATCTGGAGGGAGCGTGGCGAGGGTGCGAGTTGTGGGCTGAGGGATCGTACGACGACTGGGAACATGCGCTGAACGAGTATGGTGCGCGGATGTCGGTCTGGGGTACTAAGGTGAAGAGAGGTGGAGGGATTGGGGGAGAGGGCCGGAGGGAAGGTGGAAGAAGGAGGAGAAGGTGGTGGAGGAGGTGATGATGATGATGATGATGATGATGGTGGTGGTGGTGGTGGTGGTGGTGGTGGTGGTGGTGGTGGTGGTGGTGGTGATGATGATGATGATGATGATGACGACGATGACGATGATGATGATGATGATGATGATGATGATTGCAAGCTGGTCACTTTTCTCAAAAGGTGTTAGAGCTTGATGAATGGTTTCATGTCACTCTTCCAAGAAACTCTGCCTCACGTCGACCCCCAAGGCTTGTCTCCCTTCTCCTGCTCCTGCTCCTGCTCCTGCTCCTGCTCCTGCTCCTGCTCCTGCTCCTCTTCCTGCTCCTGCTCCTGCTCCTCATCCATATCTTTTCTCTCTCTTTTGTGTCAAGCTGCTCATCCTCGTCCCCGTTCATCGTTGTTTTCTCTTCGTCTTGTGAATTTGCGCAGGCTGACCAAGTCGGAGGTCATGAAACTAGACGAGTGGTGGTACACTCGAGGTTTCTTTGCTGGGGTAAGAGATGCGACGAAACTGCTGATGCGTCTCCTCGTCCTCCTCGTCCTGGTTCTACTCCTCCTCTTCCTTCTGATCTTTCTCGTCCTTGTGTCTTTTTTCAACCTGTCTACCCCGCTTCTCTCTGTTCTCTCGACGCCTGTGCTCCTGCTCTCTTGCTGTTTCATGAGCACGTCTGAGAGCATTGTGACCTCCTCCTTCCCTTGTCTTCAGATCATCCCGATGAGTTTCGCCAAGTCAGCTCCTTCCAAGATCATCCAGCAATCTACTTTCTTTGCTCTTCACCGGGCGCTGAAAGGTTTCGATGCCTCCCTCAGATCCCTCTCGACCAACTCCGCCGCCGTATCACTGCTCCTTGTCTCTCTCCTCCCTCTCTCTCCCTCCTCTTTACCCGTCTCCCTCCGCCCCCTCCGTTCCCTCCTCTCTCTTGCTTCCTCCGCAACATCGCCCCTCTCTTCCTCTCTTCCTCTCTTCCCTCTTGGCGCAGCGTCGAGGTGCTGGCGCGATGAGATCTGACCAGGAGGCGGCAGGTGATTTCAACTCTTCGTACGCGAACGTTTCGCTGCTGTGGCAAGCGAGTTGGGTGAGGCGACAGGATGAGAAGATGGTCGGACTGACGCGATGGAAGGACGACGAGCACATGTTTCATCACGATCAGCTGGAGAAAAATGGTGCGGTGAAGATGAAGATGGAGATGGAGATGGAGACGTTGTTGGTGATGACGATGACGATGACGATGATGGAGATCATGACGATGACGACGACGATGCAACGACGAAGATGACGATGTTCAGGATGTCTTCTTATCATGTCGAGTATCCTCGCCGCCCTCGACCCCGAACATTTCTTCGTCTTCTCCGACGAGATTCTCGTCTGCATACCCAGCCTGTGAGCTCTGACTTGTCGTCTTGCGCATGACGAGGCAGCAGAGGAGGGAAGTTCAGCCTTGACACCTACGTGAGGGCTTGCGAGATGATAAGGAGCAAGGTGACACGATATGAGGGAGGGGAAATCGGGGAAGAGAGAGAGAGAGAGAGGGGGGGGGGGGGGGGGGGGGGGGGAGAGGAGGAGAGGAGGAGGAGGAGGAGGAGG